CTTATACTATCACACTTCCAGAGGTGTTGAAAGGCTTAAATGAGAATTGCAGGAAACACTTTCTGAGAATAGAACCACGCTTTTTAATTACAGATTCCTAAATCCAGCATTCTTCAGTTTATTCTAGAATTCACTGGTTGGGGCAGGGTGGCACAGGAAGTGATTGACTCCTGTGGTCTGTACCCAGGCCCTGGCCTTCATCTGCCCATCTGGAGGAACTGCAACTTCTGCCCTCGGTAAGCTAGGGGGTTTATTTTGGTTGTTCCCTTTTCTCTCCCAAACCTAAGATAACTGAAAAGACGATGCTCAGTTGTACAACTGTAAACCAAAGACTTGAAAGGAATGCCAGGCCAGCTGGTAGACCTCTGTGGAGTGGGGGCATAGAGAGCACTGAATTAGCTTTGGATGGCTGAGAGGCAGGATATATTCAGGGGTTACCCGAGAAATAGTTCCAGGACACACTCCCACTCCCTTTGCCTCTTTCCGCCCGGTTCCCTGAACCACTGATGCATCCATTAGTATAAAGTCCAGCAATCAGTAATTGGGAATTGGTCTGTAGCATTTTTTTTAAACATCACCCCAGCAGCAGTTTGCAGGTGCAGTGACTGGCCACTGTTGCCTTTGGAACACTGGAGAACTGGTAGACATTTCCTCATTTGGCTGCTCATATTTCACTTGCCATGTATGTTCTCTTGCATGTGAGAGGGCACAGGTGTTCCCAAATGAGGAGCCCTCCCTCCCTTCCAAATACCTCCCTCCTATACACACACATACACACACATGCATGCATGCATGCACATAGGCACACCCTCACACATGCGTGCACACATACCTCAATGCCCCAATGAATGTAGTAACAGACCTGTTTTGACAGCTACTCAGAAGGAGGCAGTTTGACATTGTGGTTAGAGTACTGGGCTTGGAGGCAGCTCAGATTCTGCCTCTGACATTGACTAGCTTTATTCCCATGTGCCTCAATTTCTTTGTCCATAAAATGGGGGTAATTATAGCTTCAGTTTCTGCTCCCCAGGGTCATTGTGACACTCAAGTGAGATAATGTGCATAAAGTACTGTGCCAACTTTAATGTACACTCTAAATGTAAATTATTATCATCTATAATAATAGATTAATAATAGAATGATAGTCAACCTTATGTGACCTTAGACAAGTCATTTCTCTTTGGTGGGAATGTGTTTCTTCTATAAAATGAGGTGGTTGGATTTGATGATTTAAAATCCCTTTTCTCCCAATAGGACATAATTCCATGATCAGAGACCAGTTTTGTCTTTTGGATAGAGGAATGCCTTCAGGTGTGGCAGAATGGAACCCCACAAGGTTCCCTACCTGATGTAGTCTCGTGACTCGGGCCTTGGACACTGGCTAAGTCGTTTAAATGGCAATCTGTCCCTTTGTTCAAAATATGCAGTTACATACCTAGAGGTCTGAGATAATAATTTGAAACTAGCGCAGCCAGTCAGTGTTCAGGCTAACAGGACCAGAGCAAGAGTAGGTGAGAAGAAAGATGGTCCTTGGGGTGGAGACAAGTAGAGAGCCTATCATCAGTCAAAATAGGTCATATTGAGGTTTTCTTGATGCATTTTTTTCAAAGATAAGACCCTATGATTTATTAATTTGTTATTTCAGGGATAGTAAGTTTTCTGAGGGAGGATGCTTTCAACCTGGATGACTTTGGAAGCAAGTCATCTAACCTCCATGGACCTGGACTTCTTCTTTGGCACCGGGAGGAGATTGGATCAGTGGCCTCTTGGGAACCTTCAAGCAAGGATATCATAAACTGTGAGAGGCTTTGGCAAATGCCTGGCTGAAATCCAGCATGCTATATGAGCAGGTAAGAACTCCCTTTTCTACAGAGCCTTAAAGTTTGCAAAGAACTTTCATCATGACAATCCTTCGAGGTTACTAGGAGAAATATTTTTGTCACCTCCACTTTAGAGGTAGGTGACCTGAAGCTCTGAGAGGGACAATTCTTGCCCATGGTCATCCAGCTGGTAAATTTCCCAGCAAAAGCTCCAACTTCAAGGCTAATACCCTCAGAGCCATAGCTGTCTGTGTACCTGGAGCAAATTTGGCTGGAGTCAGGGACGGCAATATAGAGCATGGTCTGATGGGGAAGGACGGAGGCGGGGCAAAGGATGATGGACCAGAAATGGGGTGGGACCTCTGAGGCCAACTAATCCAACCCCCTCCCTTTACAGATGAGGAAAGTGACACTTAAGCAGGTTAAGTAACCGGCCCAAGATCCCACAGGAAGCAAACATCTGAGTCAGGATTTGAACTCAGGTTCGCTGACTGCTTTTTCCATTGTTCCACATCTTCTCCCAAAACTGTAGAGAGTACATCCCATCACACAGAGGGCCCCACTGGGATGGTTGTGGCGCAGACCTCCCTCCTGAGGATCAGTGAGAAGAAGGTATGCCCCTTCTATGGAGGAAGCCTTCCCTGGAGAGAAGTATGCCTTACCTTGTTTCACAAAGCCCCTTTTGCCCTGGGTTAGTTATAACTCCAAATGTCCTTCCTATCACCCAAGGAGAGGCATCAGAAAGGGCTTCAGCAATGAAGACAAATGCAGTTAGATTGGGTGAAGAAATGAATGACTTGGAAAAGGAGCTGAGGGTGAACATTTATTTTTACTTGGGGAAAAAATGCTGCTGATCACCACATCCATTTTGGCACTTGCGAGCAGACAACCAGTAGTGTTTACACTGCAAATGTGACAGTTCACAATTCCTAGAAAAACATACAGAGTGAGGGTAGGTGGGGAAATCTTCACAGCAAAAACAATAACAATAATTTATAATAATAATTTTGGAACAAAATTAAAAGTCTACACAGGAGCACAAACACCAAGTGGGAACAGAAAGCGCGGCACCAGGATTCCACACTATGCCCAAAAAAACAGATGGAAGAGGGCAGGAAAAATGGAGGGAAAAAAGGAGGAAAAATCTCTGAGCACCCCTAAGCCAGAAGTGCTGTAATGAAGTGGGTTTCAAATTTAGCCTCGTAATTAGTAATCAAATTGCAACCCAAGAAAAGCCAGAGCATAAATTACATAGCAAAGCTTTGCTCAAATTAAAGTGAAAGATCTTCCTAATGTTATTTCCAAATGGCAACACGAAAGCCTTAGCATGCTGCCCACCAGGGCTACTAGTTTGTAGGTCTGCCTGGATAATGTCTGCTACTCTGCCTTTGATTCTGAAAACAAGGCTATGGGCAATCCAGTAGCCCCTGGCCTCCAGAAATCCTACCAGAGAAACAAAACAAAACAAAACAACACTTCTCATTGGGTGAGTGGTGGTAAGGAAAGGAGGCTCTAAACCTAGACAGCTACTATTTCTGAGAAACACACCAAAATTGTGTATAGTATTTGGAGAAAGGGACCTAGGGACCCCACTCCTACTAACTTGAGAAGGAAGATAGGAATAGGCTAATTCTGGCCTCAGAATAGCCTTTTCCTCTCTGGTACTTTGGAGTGGGCTCTCCAGATGTAGAGAATCCAGTAGGTGCTCTCCAAATAAAGATGGAAGACAGACCCACTTTCATGTTGGGATGGAGAGGGAGGGCTCATATGCAGAGTATATAAGTTGTCTCCTCAGCATCTCCCTTTTTCTTTGTGGTTGGGGGTAGGGAGGGAAGGAAGGAAGGAAAGTCATTGAATAAGACATGGCCTCCTGGTTTCACTCAAAAACCATTGGAGTTGACTAAAAAGGGGGTGGGGGAAACAGCATATACAATGCTTTTAATACTTTAAGTGATTACATCTACCCTAAAAATTACAGTCCTGTTGTATCTGGTTTCTGCCCTGTGTCTCTTATTGCTGAGAAATGGGAGGCTCATCCTTAGCTTTCTCTGCTTCCTTCAAGGCATTAATTACTGGTAACCACGGTGAAGGCAGTTCGGGGATGGTTTTCTTGGCTTGAGTTAAGTGGTTAATAGCCGTGTAGAGGCTTCCTCGGGGTCCTGCTTCCTGCTCAGAATAATACATCTCTAGAGCTGCAGGAGTACAGTGCTTGTGCTGAGAGAGAGAGAGAGAGAGAGAAAGAGAGAGAGAGAGAGAAGAGGTTGGTTGTCAACTCATGAAGAAATAAAAACAAATCAGAGTCATGGAATCTCAGAGCTAGAAGGGGCTTCAGAGGTCATTAGCCTGGCCCAGCCCTGAACAACAATATTCACCGCATCAGCCCTGATGAATAGAATACAGCTCATAAGAAGCACGAGATGTGCAAACTTAGAGAATCCACCCAAATGTTCACATTGACTATTTGTTCTTGACCTATGGAGCGTTCTGAGCTCGTATTGGTCTGATCATTCATTATTTTAATGTCAGCGCTAATCTTCCTATCTCTTAGCTGATCTTTATATTTTCCTTCCTCCCCTCAACACTGTGTGGAATCAAAACTTTAATGAGGTAAGGGGCATTTTGGGAGGGAGGAAATCGGGATTAAATGACTTGCCCATGGTCACACAACTAGGCTGGATTTGAACTCAGGTCCTTCTGATTCCAGGGCACACGGTAACTTGACTCCAGCATAGTGATGTCATTTTGGTCCTCTTCGAGAATGAAGGCCAGTAACCAAACAACCAACACCTGGATTGCCTACTAGGATAAATCTGATTTTTAGAGATGGATCATTGCCATAACAAACCCTTCCAGTCTACATAATATATATTTAACCTTTTGATAAAACTAGTCACATATAAATTAAATTAATAAAATATATAAACTATTAGGTCCTTGTGACTTTTATACTACATGAGCAATATGTAGTACTTCTTAAATATATAGTATTAATAAAATATTTATTAATGTGTGGTTCTAGGAGGAGACTGGCTACAATAAGCCTGGAGATAAGGAACAGCAATAGAAAACCAGCAATTAGTTCAGAGATTGGTGGAGCTATCTCCACGCACTAGTCAGCTGTCTTGGGAAATGGGAGCTGTGGCCCATCATTTGGGGAGGTTCGGCCTTGAAATTCTGGCTTATGAGACTTTATAAGACTCATGCAAAGAGAACCCCCTACCCAACCTAGCTTGCTGGTTCTAAATCAAACATTAGAAATGACCTTTACAGGGCAAGTTGGTGCACAGTGGATAGAACACATGTCCCAGAATTAGAAGGACCTGAGTTCAAATCCAGCCTAGTTGCGTGACCATGTCTTATGTGAGTGCAGGGGCACAGACACACTGAGTACAGAAGGGTGGTTCTGAAGCGAAGAGAAGGGAATCAACACTTATTAAGTGCCTACTATATGCTCCAGGCACTACGCTAAGTGCTTCACAAAGATCTCATTTGATTCTCACTACTACCTTGCAAGGTGGTTACTGTTATTATCCCCATTTGACAGTTGAGGAAAACAGTGGCAAATGGTGGTCAAGTGACTTACCCAGGGTTACACAAGTTTTAAGTATCTGAGGTCACATTTGAACTCAGTCTTCCTGACTTCCTGGCCCAGCACTCTCTCCAGTGAGTCACCCAGCTGCCCAAGGGAAGAAGGTTCCTGGGCTGATTCATCAGCTTCACTTAGACTGTGACAATCCTAACTAGGAAATGTTTAATTCAGTTATACTTCTAGGTTTTGTAGATTTAATTATGGCCAATCAGTGATCAATAGCTTGATGGAGGCAGCACTGCTGGTCTGAGGACCCCAGATTGAGTCTCAGATTGGCCAAAACTACCTTGGTTCCTTCCCTACTTTCTGGACCTCAGTTTTATCATTTGTAAATGAAGTGATTGATTTTGATCATAGGGTGAGAGGACTTGGATTGACCTTTGTCACTTCCTAGGACATTGGTCTCACGTCCTCTCATCCTCTCAGCTTTTGATCATTGATCCCTTTCAGCTCTGACATTCTATGATCTATGATTCATTTATTATGAGAACATGCATATTACAGCTGTATTATAGACCAAAAAAAACCATATAACCTGTCAATAATTTTCACAGCAATGGTCCCAAAAGAAATGGTTAATACACAGTGTTGGGGAATGTCTCCCTTTTTATAACAGGAACAAATGAGCAGAGCTATTTTCTGTGCTGTTTAGAACCTTAAGCTCCTCTCACAACAGAGGACATCTGCCTTGGCAGCTGCAATTAGAAGTATTTCTAAAATGGATGCTTGTAAGTTGTAATTTTGTCAATGGAATCCCAGTTTTCGACTTACTTCCAATATGTACAGATTTCCTAACACACCTCGCCAGGCTGGGCTCCATAGCTCTCCCTACCCCTTTATATCCCCACTAACAATTTTGTCATCACCTCCTGATTTACCTTTACATTAATTTGTGTCATTTTATCTAACTTTCCATCTGAGTTTGAAACATCTAGGCATGTATGCATATATCCATAAGGTAAAGGCTGTATCTGAGTTCCGGCAATAAGGCAAGGTTGTGTAATTGATAGAGATCTGTACAAGACACTTAGTTTACGCAAAGAAAATCCCAGGTAACTGGGGCCCAATTAATCGGAATATTCATATTTAATGAGAATTTTCAACCTCTGCCCTGCTCTACACATTTTTATAGGAAAAAGAGAATTACAACAAAGTAACCTGATACTAGGGACCTCTTCCACTAAAACTTTATTCAGATGACTCAGTGGTGTATGGATGTGTAATCCCAAATTCTTGAAAACTCTGATGAAAGGTTTCCAGCTCTATCAACCCCTGCCCAAGATGATAAAGCTTTAAGCATGTACCTACTCATGGACTGGCACCTGAGGACAAGCCTAGCTATGTATAGAGAAGCTTATCTCCAGAAGGTGCACCCTAAGTTAGATAATTTTAGCTGTAACAACTCAGGGAAACTGTATCTGAAGTCATGGAGGGGTGCTTTTTCAGTGGAAAGACTGTTCACATGGCAGACATCATGAATCTTTTGAAGCATCATGAGCTTAGGGTGGAGACTAGACTTATAATTATATTGGCATGGAGAACTTTCTGATTGATGAGTGGAACCCTCTCGTCCAATGCAGGTTGGCAGCCAGATGACTCACTGGATAGAGTACTGGGCCTAGATTCAAGAAGTCCTGTGTTGAGATCTGGCCTCAAACATTTACTACTGTGACCCCAGGCAAGTCATTTAACCTGTCTGCCTCAGTTTCCTAACCTGTAAAAGGAGGATAATAACAGTACCTACCTTGCAGGGTTGTGAGGATCAAATTAGATAGTATCTATAAAGGGCTTAGCACAGTGCTAAGTAGACTCTCAATCATTCAATTAATTAATCAAGGTATAGACAAGGTTTAAAGTTTAAAATGCTTCAAGTCACTTGATGAAACCAGCTGATGAAAAGAAAAGATTAATTGAAAGAATTAGACATACTTCAGGCTTAGGCATGTCAGAGAAGGAATTCAAGAAAGAAAAGCAGGTCAACTATGTGAGCACTTTGAAGAACCAGACTCTTGGGCCTATCACCAATGTGCAAGAGGGCAGGGAAAGGGATTACTGATTTTAAAGAAATAGTTACATACAGAAGAAAAGCCTATTAATGGAGAATGAATGCTGTGTGTGGCATAGTACTGCAAGAACCATATCAAGAGTACTGAAGCTCAGAATGAGCTATATCAAGGAAGAGGTGATGCCAGGACCATCCCCCAGGGAGTACATATAGCAGAGAGAAGACATTTTCTCTACACTTAGTTTACTTTGTTTTGACTCTGATAAAGACAACAATCTTTGGATTGGAAAGGACAGAACCAACATCAAAAATAGGAACCCAGAACCCCAAATAAATAGGGAGATAACAGGATGCTGCCTAGAAATCTGCAATGAGCTGAGTGACTTGCCCCAGCTTCAGGAAACATGCTAGGTTACAGATGGATCTGGTGAATGTTGTTGCTTAACTAATGTTAGTGATCTTTGAAAGATCTTGGAGAATGGCAAATGTCCTAAATTTGAAGTACGTTCTAAGGATTGGTTTTCTCATTCTTACCTTCTCCTGTCCCCACCCCACCCACCTGAATGGGATCACAGAAAGTTAAATATGGAAGGAATATTAAAGATCATTTAGTCTCATTCTCTCATTGTACAAATGAGGAAACTGAGGTCCAAAGAGAAACAAGGTCAATAGTGTCAGAATAAGGCATGGCCTAGGTCTAAGTTTGTTCTTGCCTCTCACTACTCCATAGCTACTTCACTTTTTAAAGAGGAGATTTGCCAAGATGTTCCTGGCTGGACCACCAATTTTAGTAGAGGTTGAATGAGACTTCTCAGTCACCTTCAATGTGTGTAGTACAGATCTTGTACCCATTTTACAGATTAGGAAACTTTGACATAGAATAGCTAAGTGACTTGTCTGTAATCACACAAGTAGTTATTGATAGAACTATTGTACAGTGCATAGGCAGTTGGGTGACTCAATGGATAGAGAGCTGAGCCTAGAATCAGGAAGACTTGAGGCAAACTTCTTCAAGCACTCTGCAACACTTCCACACCAAAATGGTCTATTTCTGCATTGGAGGTATATGGAGTCTGCAAACATAAAATGGTGAATAGTAATCGTCATACCCTATCTGCCATTATACATACAGGTAGACAGTGGGAGATAATGAAAAGAGTAACTGGCCTGGGGGAAGGAGGTTACTTAAAACCTGGTCTATAGGCCTAGCTCTGCCACTGAACCTCTATATAAACTTGGACAAGCCATTTTTCCTTTTTGACCCCCACTTTTCTCATCTGTGACATGAAGAAGCTAATCTCTGACCTCTAAGACTCTGACTCCAATATTTTGTGATCCCATGACCTTAAGGGGAGCATTCACTGAAACTTCACTCTTTTTGGTTTAATGTGCCACGTTTAACATATGAGGCACTCTCAAGGCTCCCCGGAAATCTCCAAAATCTCTGCTTTGGACCATTAGAGCTTTTGGAGTCATTCAATTTGCAACTTCATTCTTGCTTTATCTCCATTTATTGCAGAAACCTGATTAACGAAAGCTAATCGAGGATAAAGAAACGTATTGGAAGTGGGTACAGAGAAAGGAGTCAGGGGAAGAGAGAAGGGCCAGGGGAAGAGTTGAACAAGGGAGAACCAGGCTCTCTCTAGCTCCAGACAATCAGCTTTATGAATCACCAAGTAAATCTTCAACCTTCAAAAGGGCAGCCAGCTCCTTGGGATCTCAATGCGTAGATAGAAGAGGGAGATGCCTGAAGTCCAAGAATGAAGAATTTGAAAGGGAAATGTCTTCTCTTGCATCCAGTACAGCCTCACTGCCAGACTCCTCCAGGATCCCATATGGGAAGCCCAGTGTGTCCTCTATACCTCCTATGATTTTGCCCAGCTTATTTTTAAACAGGCCAAGGGAGACAGCTTCCAAAACCTCACATGGGCCCTCAGTCTCCATTTAAAGCATCAGTGAAGTCCCCAGATAGTGTGTCCCAATATACTCTGCATTTTGTTTCATCCTAGTCCTCCCAGGTGTGGTATCAGACTGGAGAATTTCTCTTCTTCCTCTGAATGTTTGCCAGATGGCAAAGCATGGATTTAGCATGGGGGTAGGGGAACAAGAGGATGGGGTTGGAACAGAGATTAAAGGGAGAGAAGGAAATTAACTGTGGAGGAAAAGGTTTACGTGCACCCTAAAATAAACCAAAAAAAGGACCACATTTAATCCCATTACTCTCCCACTTCTGACGGCCATTGGTTTTAATATGAACCCCCCTCCCTTGTACATCCCCTGTTTCTGCCCCAGATTTTTATTCTTCCCAGCTTCAGCTGGCAGTGAGAAGATTTGCCAAGATGTTCCTGGCTGGACCACCAATTTTAGCAGAGGTTGAATGAGCCTTCTCAGTCACCTTCAACATTATCCATACCACTTAATTACAATTTGTGTGGTACAGATATTGTACCCATTTTACAGATTAGGAAACTGACATAGAATAGCTAAGTGACTTGTCTATAATCACACAAGTAATTATTGACAGAACTATTGTACAATGCATAGGCAGCTAGGTGATTCAGTGGACAGAGAGCTGGGCCTGGAATCAGGAAGACTTGAGTTCAAATCTGGCCTCAGACACTTAACTAGCTGTGTGACCCTGGGCAAGTCACTTAACCTTTTTTTACCCTAATCTTCTAAAGAAGGAAATGGCAAACCATTCCAGTATCTTTACCAAGAAAACCCCATAACGGAGTCACGAAGAGTTAAATACAATTGATTGATTGAACAACAACATTGCACAGTGGAAAGAAGATTGATTTTGTAGTCAAAGGATTTGGGGTCAAATCCAGGCTTTGCAACCAACCTGTGTGATTTGGGACATTCCATTTATCCTAACGAGGCTTCAGTATTCTCAAATGTAAAAGTGAGAGAGGTGATTTTAGATGACCTCTTGAAATTCTTCTGGCTGTATGCTTATGATCCTCTCTCTGATGCCCTTCCAAGGCTCCTTCCACTATGTCCCAACATCCCTTTGGAAGTTGCAAGTAAAAGAGGGAAACTGAGACCTAGAAAGGCAATATTTTTTAAGCTCAGTTTTTCTGTCTGTGAAGCAGAGGACGCTATCCTTTTATAGCAGAACAAGTGAGAACATTTCAAAGCATGAGGAACTACTTGGACATTAAAAGAAAGATGTAGCGTTACTGTCCCCAAAGGAGATTCTCTGAACAAGAGGAGAGGAGTTTAGGCCCAAATCGCTAAGCTGGAGGTGATGGGAATTTGCCCAAACCCAGAGACTAGTTCTTATGCAATTCACTTAAACTCAAGGATCTTATTCAAGACATGGAGTTAATGGAGAGAGAAGGAGGGAATGAAATCCGAAAATTAAATCCCTTGATAAAACACATTCATTTCCAACCACCTGTTACAAAGCCTCTGGAGTTTTCTAAAAGGGTAAAACACACGGAAGTGAAGGGAATCAAGTCATTTCCTATTCTGTCTTCTTGTACTTCAGCACAAAACCGCCCAGTGTTTGAATGATCAGACAAACATTTATTAAGTACCTTCTATATACAAAGAACTGCACTGAATGAGGTAGAAAAGGAGGGTGAGGTAGAGAGAATTACTTAAACTTCCCTAAGGTTGTACCTGGATCGTAACAAAGTATGCTAAATCCTCAAAAAGATGAAAGTACTAGATCACCTTACTTATCTCCTGAGGAACTTGTATAAGAAGGGCCAAGAAGCCTCTTGATGAAGGTGAAAGAAGAGACTGTAAAAGCTGGCTTGAAGCTTAACATCAAAAAACACTAAGATCTTGGCAACTGGTCCTGTTACTTCATGTCAAATAGTGGTAGAAGAAATGGAAGTGGTGTCAGATTTTATATGCTTGGGCTCAAAAATCACTGCAGACGGCGACTGCAGCCATGAAATTAAGACACTTGCTCCTTGGAAGGAAAGCTATGGCAAATCTGGACAGCATACTAATGAGCAGAGACATCACCTTGCTGACAAAGGTCCATATAGTCAAAGCTATGGTTTTTCCAGTAGCAATTTATGGCTGTGAAAATTGGACTATGGGGAAAGCTGAGTGGTGCAGAATTGATGCTTTTGAATTGTGGTACTGGAGAAGACTTTTGAGAGTCCGTTGGAATATTTAAGAAAATTAATTCAGACTGTTCACTGGAAGGTCAAATACTGAAACTGTTGTTTAAATGCTTTGACCACATAATGAGAAGATGGGACTTATTGGAAAAAGACCCTGATGTTGGGAAAGATTGAAGGCAAAAAGAAAAGGATGGCAGAGGATGAGATGGATAGAGAGTGTCATGGAAGCTATGAACTCATTGAGCTTGGACAGTCTTGGGGAGACAGCAGAGGATAGAATGGCCTGGTGTGCTATGGTCCATGAGGTCATGGACAGTGGGATGTGGCTGAATAACTGAACAACAATAACCACAAGTTTGTACCTCTTCCAGTTGCCTTTCAATTAGAATAGCTCACACATCCACAGAGCTTAATGCTTACCAAACAGATTTGTAACAAAATCTCTAGAAGGTATGGAGTGAAAATGCTATTATCCCTATTCTGCAGATGAGGAAGCTGAGGTTCAGAGAGGTCAGTGAATGATCCAGGGTCATACACCTAGCATCAGAGCCAAAATTCAACCTCAGCTCTCCCAACTCCGTTTTTCAAACTTTTGCTTTACCACTAACTTAATAAAAGCACTCTCAGGAGACCTTACGGGTTTAGGTTGGAGGTGGGCAGAGAGAGCTAAGGGGGAAAAGGCCTTCTAAGATCTATTCTTTAGTCCTGTTTTCTTTTCTTTAGTGGACATAAGGATATAGGGAGAGCCTTTCTTAATTGTTCTGGGGTTATTACTCTCTCATACACAGTGAAAGATCCCCCTTGGGTTGGGAATAGCAGGAAGAAGAGGGAAATGACAATGCCTAATGCAATACCACCTCCTACAGGAGCTTTCCCTGACTGCTTTTGTTGGAGTATTAATCAGATCATCTGGTCTCAAAATACTTTGTATTTCTCTAATGCACTGATATTCTAATTTATCAGATATTATTAGATAATAATAAATTATTAGATATATCTATCTACATCCTTAATTTATGGAGACTATAATCTAGGAAGGGGATAAGAATAAGAATAGTGACAGAATGTATGGTCCTTAAGGATGGGTGCCAGTTCACTTTTTGACTTTGTAGCTTCAGTGCTTGGTGCTCTGGCTGACACATAGTAGGATCTTAATAAATGCTTGTTGACTGACGGTCTTTTTTTATCTTTATATCCCTCCCCCCGAACATTGCACATGATAGGTACTTAAATATTTTTCAGATTAGTTGGGTGACTGGGTAAGTCATTCAATCTCTCCTGGCCTCAGTTTCTTCATCTGTAAAATAGGGATAATAATAGCACCTACCACACAGGGCTGTTGCGAGGACCAAATTAGTGATTTCTGTGAAGTGCTTTGCAAATGAAAGAGGCTATAAAAATGCCTTGTTGTTGTTGTTGTTATTGTAGAAAAGCAGCATGATAGAATGCTGGACTTTGAACCTGAGCCAAGAAGACCTAAGTCCATATCCTTACTAGCTACATGGCCAAGTCATTTAACCAAAGAGTCCCATTTTGTTGTTTTTTCAGTTATGTCTGACTCTTCATAACTCTGTATGGGGTTTTCTTGGCAAAGACACTGGAATGGTTTGCCATTTCCTTCTTCAGCTCATTTTACAGATGAGAAAACTGAGGCAGACAGGGTGAAATGACGTGCTAAGGGTCACACAGCTAGTAAGTGTCTGAGGCCAGATTTGAACTTAGGTCTTCCTGACTCCAGGGCCAGTGCTCCATCCACTACACCATCTAGCTGTCCCAGCTTCCCCCTCTCTGAAAGGGATTTAATTTTAATATTTATCTTATAGGGTTATAATGAAAGTCAAATGAACTAATGTACATAAAGTGCTATGTAAATGTCAGCTATTATTAAATCCACTTTATTAATATGTTTTAAATATTAATGTTATGAATTATAATAATATTATGAAATAAAATATTAAATCCAAGAAATTGCAGAGTTGGTTAAAATTATTAACCCTTCTCTTTATAAAATCTCTTGCAGTTAGCTCCACTCAATAGTTGGTCATCAATAGCAGAGAATCCCCACCCTCTCTCAATATGTATGAACAATTTTTTGAAGTAAAATGTGCTGTAAGAGACAGGAAGTTGGGACTCCCTTCCTGAAGGAGGTGCTTTCAAAGTGTAGGCAATGCAGTGATATCACCATACCTTAAACACAAAGCCCTCTGGGCAGCTTAACTGGTCATACCAGAGAGCCTTGTACATGACCAGCATGAGCAGACAGGCCAGGAACGCCATCGTGATGAGGATGAGTCCTGTCAACTAGAAAGAGAAAGGGGGGAAGGGAGGAGAGAAGAAAGAAAATAAGTGAGCTCAATTTAATAAATCAAAATAGCACAATAAAAAGAGAAATGCTGATAAAGTAAGGGTTGGGTTGGTTGAATAAACTTGTTAACATCTCATCCATTTAAAATAAGTGATGAGATGCCCTGATACCTTAACAAGGGGGAAAATAAGTCTCAAACAACCAAACACTAGATTTAGTGGAGAATGACTTCAGACATGCTGGAGTGAGATTGACAGGAAAAGTCTTCAGATTGGCGGAGGAAAATTAGTCATGCCTTTTGAGTCATCTATAAAGAAGAAGATGAGTTTAAGACCCAGTTTAAATGAGCATCTTGCCAAGATTCCTGTAAGTGGCAAATGAAAAGAGAAGGTTCCAGCTAAATTCCAGCTAAACCGGGTTGGGGGTTGGGACGAGGAGCACTTTGGCTTTGGCCTCAGTCTACCTGGGCTGCAGGAGAATCTTGTGATTTTTGAAGGATTTCCAGGACTTCTCATCTTCCCACTGTCATCCTAGCAGTGTCTCTATAATAGCTAACAGTCAAGCCTGCCTTGGGATTTCAAGGAGATTGAATGTAGTAGATTCATAGCTCTACAAAAATTCAGGTGAAGAAACAAAACCATTTCTAAGGGCAAATTTCTTAAGGAGCCCATGAAGAGGAGAAAAGGACTTCCAGCAGTGAGAACAAGTTACCCTTTGAAATGTTTTCTCTCTAATCTTGAGCCCACTTTCCTCTGTACTCTGAAATGGTTGGAAAAGTTGTCACAAAATTTGGGAGGGGGGGAAATGTTTCATACCAACTACTGGCTTCCTTGCTCTCCCTCAGCGGTGGTCCTCTGTCTCCCAACTCTCTGACTTCACATTGGCTATTCCCTGTGCCTGGAATGGTCTACCCCCTTACCTTTGCTTCTCAGTTCCCCTGGCTTCCTCCAAGACTCAGTTCAGATCCTACCTTCTCTAAGAGGGTGATCCTGGTCCTCAGTGAATGCTCCTTTCTAAAAACAGCTTAAATCTGGTTAGGATTCTCAACTAATAGTTATGTCAGGAAGCACACTGGTAGGGGCTCGTGGGCTGTAGCACTAGAAAAAATACTCTTCCTGACACCTCAGGAGTATCCTTTAAGCTGAGCTCTTGGGACCCAACTGATCAGGATGGAAGATGAAATACTTGCCTCAGAA